CCTCTGGGATCAAGGATTCTGGGAGAAGAAACCCCATCACTGTGAATGGCCATCAGTCAGAGGACAACAACTCTCATTGCAGCTAGTGCCACCAAGGGTACGGCGCTGCTCCCTGGGAGATCACTGAGGGATCCAGACTCCACGTGAATGATGATGGAATCAGCGTTGTGAGCTGGGGATTACGCAGGAGGAGAGCGTGGAGTTGGCAATAAGGGTTTGGCTCTTGCCAGGTAACCCCTTCCCAATGCTGGGTCCCTCAATCGAGTACTGACTGAGAGCACGCACGCCCCAAAATGAAACCTGAGTGGACCGCCAATAAGCTTTGGTTTTCAGGCTTTTGACTTGGTGACTACCCTACCTGTCAGTGGGTAAATATCAGAGAGATGGCTGGATGAGACCCTGAAGAGAGCATCAATCTCTGAACAGGAAGGCTATCTACAAGGCTTTTCATAGCGGTCTAATTTGAGGCAGAGATTGGGGTTTCCACCCACCTTCCCCAGCAACCTCCACCAAACCCACCTTGGGGGGGGTGGGTTCAGATCTCCACAAATAGACCAAGCTTATGCAGTCACAGACAATGTCTCTTTCTCTTACACTCACACACACACACACACACACACAGGCGCAGACACACACACACACACACACAAATGCAGTCACAATGACAAAGACATATATACAAAAATGCAGTTGTGCTATTAGGCTTTGTAAGGGTTAATGTGTGGGACTGTGTAAAAAGCACCTCCCATGGTGATGAGCTAGAAGATACATGACTAAGATGCAGGGAGAATGATCAAACAGTATAAGACCTCATCATGAGTGGTGTCAGGGAGAGAGTTGCAGGATTTTGACTCTCTGATGCTGAAGGATTGGTGATTTATTCCTAAATTAGGAAGGGAAACAGTCAGGAGGGAGTATATCAGGGAACAGCTTTTACTTTGGCACTTCTGAGTAATGAGAAAACATTTCTATTCTACAGGTCTGTGAGACTACATGGTCTCTGACCTGGATCACTAATAATGTTCTCTCTAATCTGTTTAAATTCCCAGTTGCTGTAGAACTGTGCATATAAAGTGTGCAGAGAGCAACTAGGCTGCACATAAAAGTCCCTCTAAGATACACTCAAACACATTACTCTTATGGAGTCTGGTCAGTGCACTGTAAACATAAGTTAGGGTCAACATTGGTCACAGCGACAATACTAGAGAATGGATTTAATGGATATGCCCATGGGATTATATTTGCTGGCTGGAGAGCAGTTAGGTGACCTGCCTTGTCTCTTTTTGGGGGTAGGCTCTGCCAAATGAAGTGTCAATCATGCACTTGACTGGCAAAAAGTGGGAAAGCCCGAGGACCAGTGACCTGGAGATCTTGCAGCGCCACTGGGAGACGGTGGCTCCTGCCTGTACATCATGCATCCAAGGCCAGATATCATCACTGGAGCTCAGGTGTAGGATGATGGGCTGGGGGGGGTGGTGGGGGGAGAACGTCATGGGGAGGAATGTCATCAGCAAGGATGGGACATGGTGGCTGTCAGTAGGTGCCTCCCTTTCCAGGTGCTGGTTTCTGAGGTCAGGCACTGAATGCCTTTGGATGAAGGACCTCCAACCCTGCCAAAAACCCACAAGCAACCTCAACAGAGTCTTCTTAATGTGTTCCCCACATGGCAATCCCTTCCACCTACCACTGGGGGATGTGATTGGATGAGGGTCCCATACAGTTGATATTGATTGGGGTGAAGGAGGACTCTGACTGGATTAATTGCCACCCAGTGCCAAAGTCATCGAGAGAAGGAAATTAAATTCACACTAGAAATTGTATCTGGGTACTTGGTATGTATTCTCAGAATAGTTAAGAAAGTCAGAAGATGGACTAAGTTCATTTTTGATAGAGATAAGCAAATTGCACTTCTTCAAATTCTTCTATTCAACCTGTTCAAAGGCTTTATGACATACCTCTGGAGCAGCTGGGACTTGAACCCTTCTCCAGAGGTAGGGACACTACCCACTACATCACAAGAACCCTTTAAATTCCAGATTTATATTAGATTTGAATGTCAACAGCTGCCATGGTGAGTTTTGAAGACCTGTGTGCAGAATATTAACCTGGAGCATTAGATTCTCAGCAAAACGTTGACCCCTCTACACCACCACCTCCTGTCTAAATTCCTGATCATAGATAGTATTGATCAACCTGTTCAGAGATGTTATTACATACTTCTGGAGCAGATGGGACTTGAACCTTGACACCTTGGCTCAGATGTAGGGACACTACCATTCTACCACAAGAGCAGTCTAAATTCCTGATTCTATTCTTAATTACTAATTGTATTGATCAGTGCTGAAAGGAAAGTGAGGTTTCATTCACAGATAGCCCCACATTCTTCTCGTAAAAATTGAACATATTCTGTTATTTCCGTTCTGACCAGTTCTTCGCTGCTTGGGTATACCAGGAAGAGTAGTAACAAACTTCTCTTCAGCGCATGACAATGATGCTAATTTAACCACCGACATCATTCTCGATGAAAATGGGAAGAAAGACGTAAAACTGACTAAGGATTCAATCTGGTGAGAACTGTTAACCATATTATAAAATATTCTGTTAAATTCAGAAATAACACCACATTCAGGCTAAGATTAATTTCGGTATATAGCACCTGTGTTCTTTTCCTATCAGACAAAGATCATTTGACCTACTTTTTTGCTTACTTAATCTCAATTCCACCACTGTCTATGCATTCCCTGTTTCTAGAAAAACACACGGAATTATCTCTTGCAGAATGTGGTGAAATAAAACTGGCATAAGCAGTGGGGCAATATTGTTGAAAGGCCTACTCTTGCACCTATTTCTCATGATCTTATGATTCTAACTTTGTTGAGGGTCGTGAATGATTTTTCTAAATGGCTTACTCCTATTTCGTATTTGAACGTATTTTCCCAGTCCGCTTCATTCAGCTCTGTCTACAAAACCTTATTATTACTTCTTTTTAAGTTTAAGGCACCAGTTTTAGCCCCAGATTTCTCACTGAATGTAAGATTGTATTATGTTATGATTGCTGTTACCTAGAGAACCTTTTACTCTGTGATCATTAATTAACCTTGTCTCATTACCACATCTAAAATGACTTGCTCCCTGCCTGGTTCCAGAGTGTATTGTTGTTCCTGTCTTGAATATACTCAATGAACATAACATTCAGGCTACCTTCACCACTTTGATATGTGCAACCCACATGAAGTCTGAAATTGAACATGATTTTTTTTGCTTCATTTATACATAATCCTACAATGTAGCTATAGGTAGAGGATAAAAAAGCTAGTGTTTTTCTTTTAATCCTACCTCCTCCATCCAAACTGATTCCACATTTTAATCTTCTGAATTAAGATAATGTCTCACTACTGAACAGAAAATTCCTTTATTAACAGAGCTACTCCATCTCCATTCCTTTCTCCTCGTCTTTGAGAAATGCCTTAAATATTTAGGTGCCAGTCCTGATCACCTTGTAAACATAATGATTATTATATCAAACTCATTTATTTTTTTCTGTGATTTTAAGTCATCCATCCTGTTGAAAATGCTGCGAGGATTCAAATAAAAAGCTTTTAATTCTGCCTTTTTATCATTTTCCCCAACTCTGATCTTTGCTGATGCATTCTTATGTTTTATGCTCTGTTCCTTTGTGTCTCATTGGTTATTATTGCCCATATAGCTACCCTGTATTATTGCTTTGTACTTTCTCCCTTGAGCACAGCCTTCCTGCTCTGTATTTAATTTAAAGCCCTCCATACAGCCCTAGTTATCTGCCTAAGGCATGGGTCCCAACAAGTAAACACTGGCCAAAAGAGTTTCCTGTTTCCCCTGGACTGGTGTCAATCCCCATGAATTGAAACCTGTTTCTCTCACACGAATCTCTGAGCCATGCATTCAACTCTAACCTTATTTACTGTGTGCCAATTTGCTCATGGCTCAGTTAGTAATCTAGCTTTTGTCTTTGAATTTAGCTTCTAGGTGTTCACTGTGTTTTGGCAGAACTGCTGTCTTAGTCTTAGGTATGTCGTTGGTACCCACATGGACTATGCCAACTGGATCCTTACTGTTGCTCTCCCAATTCCTCTGAGGAGCTGTCATTAGTCCTGGCACTGGGCAGGCAATACAGCTTTTGGGACTTATGGTCTGAGCTGCAGGGAACAGTATTTAGCTCCCAAATATGATGTATCTTGCTACTACTTCTTTTCCATACCCCAATTAATTGGCTTGTGCATCATGTTGGAAGGTCCATTTGCTCGTATTCCCTGGAATCCTGCTCTCATGCCTGCAAGCTGCATTAACACTGAACTCTTTGGCCAAGTGCAATGGTGAAGGCTACTTCAGCGCTCCGTTCTAGATCCCTTTGCTGCCTTCCCTTACAGTCACATCCTCCTGTTCCTGACCACCAACTTAATTTGATCTGACCTAAGAGGTGTGTCTTCCTTCTAGAGCACAGTGTCCAGTTACTGTCACCCACCCAAAGTGTCTGAAATTCAGAATCCAGCTCATCAACCTGGAGGTGATGTTTCTTAAGTTGCAAATTCTCACTACAGGTATAGTTGCTGAATATCGCACAGGAGCCCACCTGCTCCCACATACTACGGCTGCAACACACCACCTACCACAGAGAAATGCAACAAAGTTAGATACACATTTCAGATAATGCCATTTGCAGCACGATGTTTGAGTAATTTGGGATAAACCATCTGATAAGTGTAGCATGCTTGGCATGAACGGTTGACTTTGATCCTATATGGTAGAAGTTGAACTGGCTGGAATGTGGGCATTGGTTTGATTGGTCAAAAAGTTGGGTCAGGTCGGGTCGTGAAATTAATGTGATGCTGCCCCTTCCTAGTTTGACACAGGAGGTATTCTGGCAAAGAAGGGAAATCTGTTGTAGCCATCATCAAAGCCTTTACAATATGAAAACAGATTGATAAATTTGAATGTATCCTGTTACCCAGTTGTACATTGTACCATTTGTTATTTAAAATGATACATTGATTACTCAAATTTATTTCTGAATAATTGAAAGCGTGGCTACACAGGGACACTTAGATATTAAAAAAAGCACTCCATCTAATGTGGTATGCATTATGCAACAGTAGTGTCTCCCAAAATGAAGACAGAATTGATTTAATTGGGATGTATTTGTATTGTTCTAAACTGTGTGCCACCTTTTGAATCTGGGTATTGGAGTTGAAAGAAAATGTTTCAGTTCTCAACTCGTTTGCAAGTTTGTATCACTGGCAGACTGCCTGTAACTTCTCTCAGTAAAATTGTGACATTTGTAATTTTCAGTTTATGACTTTTGAATTTTCTGCAGCTCTGAACAAAACATGTTAGTTGTGATTTGACTATTCCTTTCCCATTCTGTTTTCAAATAATCAGGTGGCATAAAATGGCTGGAAAAGTATAACCATCATATATAGAAAACGCTGGCATTTGGTTCTTATACATTATATTTTATGCTTGTGAAGTTTACCAATGTGTTGTTATCTTGTTGATCACTATAACTAGGAACTACCATTGCTGGAATGAATGTTGGATGTCCAGATATGATCTACCACCGGGATATGGTGGTTGGCAAGTTGTAGATGCCACACCTCAGGAAACAAGTGAAGGTGGGTCACAACAGGATTTTGTCTGTTGAACTGTATCTTTCTGATGTTGACACCTAAATTAAAAACGTACCTAACACACATACCCAGTGAACCATGAGAGACCCGTATCCTTGAGAAATATGAAACACAAACGTAGGTCTGTGGCACATCATGACAATTTGGGCATCGCTGTATTGGTTATTGCTTCTCATCAAGTCCTCAAGGAACAACAGAGGACATTGAAGAGGCAGATCTAATTTTATTCAACAATTTGTAGGCAAGCATTGAATTTTCTGGTTTCTTACAAAGTACTTTTTTGACAATTACGTATCTCAAATCCAGTAATGGTGATGGCAGTAATTTTGTTTTTGTCAATATAAGAGGATGGAGTGACCATTACATTATGAAAATCTGACAGTCTGGATTTCCCATCCTTCTTGTTGTTGCTGAATCTGGAGTTTGTATCTGCTAGAACATTGCCTCCCTGGCTGTTTCCTAGCACTGGACCATCAATGGATGTGTTGGAGTCGAGGGAAGATAGCCTTTGCTACACTTCCTGCTGTCTATTGTGGTTGAACACTGGATTAGAGAGTCATTAAGCACTGAATAAGCCAATTCAGCCCATTGTGCTTCCACTAAGGATGCAGGGACCTGACAATCAGTCATTGATGGAGAGAACCATGGAACCTGTAGACTCAGGCTGGGGGTGGGAAGTGGCTGAAGAGCTGACCTCCTACACATGGGCTGATTACACTGGAGCCAAAAATATGGTCACGCTGATGGAACCACCTCTGTGGTGGACCCGAGTATCTCCATTCCAGAACAACAAACTCCAGGCCATTTTACCCAGATATCTCCTGGATGCCAAGGAGTAATCTCCACATAGTAATGTACATAATATACTAGGAAGAAATAGGCTCCACATAAAACTACTTGCATTGGTTCTCCGAGGAAATACTTTCTCCACAGCTTTCTGTATTAACCCAATATTGTTGACATTGTCTTAAATTGAACGTGGGTGGTGGCTGTCCCTCAACTCGAGGCTGATGTCATGGGTTTCGTCTGTGGGTCATCATGTGACTGGATGCACTAAATCTCGATGCATAGATGTTTGGCAGATGGGGCAGGGTGTCCTACCTAATAGTGGGACCCAGAGTGTTTCCTTCTGTGCTGCTACTCTGCTTCACCATGAGGGTGTGACTGAAAATATGATACAGTTTGATGGACATGCTTTCAATATTATTGAGGGTCTAACTGAGGATGGTGATGTCAATTTGTAGTAAGGAGTAGTCAGGAGTAGTAGTAGCTCAGATGATAGGCTTGCAGTTTTCCTTCTTGGACAGCCACTCTTGAGATTATCCAGGACTGTCTGAACATTTCCAGTTGCAAAATTTAAAGTTTTCTTTCTTCGGCCACAAACACGGTAATGCCTCAGGGAGGAAGTGGAGGGGTATATTCGGTCACCTTTTGGGTAGACCCCTCCGTGTTTAGAGGAGAGCAGAGGGGTATTTTGAAAATGACTTCTGAGTTTCAGAGACTGCTACCAGAGATACCTCTGTCCCAACACAGATGTCCAAAGACTTTCTTACCTTGACTGGTGCCTGTGTGCAGATCTTTATTACAGACTCCCAGGTACACAGCTCTGACCCATTTCCAATTCCCCATCATTAGTCGACTTGGCTGCTGAATCTGGTTAATTTCTGCACTCGGCTGTTCAATGTGGGACCCCAGGGATGCTCTCTTACTGGGTGGGATCTCAATGGCCTAATGGTCACATCTTGGTGATGTGTTGAGGCATGATGACCAGGACCACCTCATTCCACCTTCACAGCCAGTGAGGAGTAGAGTCTTCCTCTGCCTGTTCTACTTCTGAGGTCATTATGGACCACGATCTAATTGGCATTACCCCCAGGGCTTGCTACCTTGGATGGGTCTAACAGGAGTAAGGATATGCCCTCGGCACCCCTGGAAGGGGTCATCAAAGCACACAGCATCCCCACAACATCAAGGTGGGCCATCACACTTGCCTGCAATAAACACAAGTGCTGATTACATAGCTTCACTCCAAATGCAATTCATTGGCATCAAGAGAAAGGAGCAGCTGGTAACAAAAATAAGAAGACATGAAAGCGCCAGAAATCAGAAATAAAATCAGAAAATGCTGGCAAAATATAGCAGATTATTCAGCACCTATGAAAGGAATAAAAATTGGACCATTTCAGGTGTGCATTTTACAACAAAAGTGAAGATGGAAGGATAAACGGATTTTGGTAAGGCTGGAAAAAGAGAAGAGATTGGGGAAGAACAAACACATTGATCTTCGAGGAGGGTGAGAGAAATGTGCTTCTAGCGTAAAAGATGATGCTTCGAATCATTTTAGATAAATATCAGTCAACCTTTAAGCCAGATGCATTCTTTCCTATATTCATTGTAATTGTTTATCACTGCTTTATTTTTGAATATGTTTTGCAGAGATACTTAAGAAGAAATGGCATGAGCAGCAATTGCCAAAACACTCCCAGTTTATTGGACTGAATAACTGGACCACCTTTTTAGTTGCTTTCTGTTCCTTTTCCGCTAGTCTGCTCATTTATTGTATTTTTTTCTCGGACATTCACAGGTCATGGGTGTTACTGGAAAGGCCAGAATTAATTGCTTATCCTTCATTTCTTCTAGGGAGGTGGTAGTAAGCCACCTTGAATCCAATTGAGTGGGTTGTTGAACTGTTCCAGAGGGCCACACTGTGGGTCAGGAGTCACATATAGACTGGACTGGAGAAAAATTGCCTGATATATTCCCCAAGAGAATAAGCTTGGACTATTTGAGTTTTTATGACAGCTCAAAGCTTCATAGTCACTGTTTATTCTGATGCTAAATAATTCCAGATTTGTTTAATTAATTGACTTTAATTTCCTCAGCTGTCAGGAGTGAGATTTAAAATCGTGTCACCAGATTATTAGCTGAATCCTGAGCTACTAGTTCAGGAACACAAGAATTATTTTGTCACCCACCCCTGAGCTGTTAATACTCTAACATGGTGTCAAACAGAGTGTTTTGTTTGAAATTCATACAACATCACTAACACTTTTATTTGTGTGCAGAATGGTGACAATTTGTTTTTAATGTTGGTGATTGCACTCATGGATAAAGCCATCTTTTAGCTCTGTCATGTACACACATTCCAATACGTTTTGTTCACTATATGTTAGTCCACATAAAATATGCTACAAAACTGTGAGCCAAATATCTTGAAGTTTATTTGCAGTACTATTTGCAAGGCTGTCTTGTCACAGATTTATTGATGTTACTGTATAGTTTACACACACACACAGAGGACACTGGCTCCATCACACAAGAGAGTGGCTGCTGCAATGTCATATATCGGATATCATGTAACTCACCTAAAGGTACCAGCCTACCTATACTGAAACCTATACCATAGTACAACACATTCCAACAACTCAGATTTTTTTCCAGAAATTAAGATCTCCCTGGTTCATTACCTCCTTTACCATACTGTCCATCCCCAAGCCATTGGTGTCTTCTTGATTTTAACTTACTATTTCCACAACCCTGACATTTATATGACAGTACAATCATTGGTAGAACAAATGTGGTCGGTCTTCTTCTGATCATCTGTCTGATGTTTGCTTAGCTGAATATCATCAATATGTGATGATCTGAATGCTAAGCTTATTGTAAATAGCAAGGTTTAGAGCAGGATATTCAAAAATAGCATATTTTATTATGAGTGAGTGCATTTAATTCTGGCTTCAAACAATTGTTTTTCCATCTATAATTCTGCACATGGGACTGCATTATATTTCAGAGTCATTGTGGAAGCCACTCAGCTCATCACATCTCTACTAGCTTTCTATAAAGCAGTCTAATTGGTTTCTTGCTCTGGTCTGACCCCAGAGCCCTGCAAGTCTATTTCCTTCAAATACCTATTCAATTATCTTTCGAAATCATCATCGTCTCTATTTCCATCACCCTTGTAGGGTGATGGAGAAAACCCAGATCTTTTTTAATTCCGTTCACTGCGTAAAAGAAGTATTTGCTCACATTCTCCTGCATCTCTTGTCCAAAATCTTAAATCTGTGCTCCCCACTAGCCTTTGTACCATCAGCTAATGGGAAGAGCTTTCCTTTGTCTACCTTACCTAAAGCCGCCCATAAAACCGTAAGCAATAGGAACAAGAGTAGGCCATTTGGCCCCTTGAGCTTGCTCTGCCATTCAGTAGGATCATGGCTGATCCAACACTCCTCATGTCCACTTTCCTGTCCTTCCCTCGTAACCCTTGATTCCCCTCACGATCAAGAATTTATCTGTCTCGACCTTAAAATATACACAAGGACTCTGCCCCCACAGCTCTGTGCAGCAAAGAGTTCCAAACGCTCTCAACCTTCTGAGAGAAGAAATTCCTCCTTGTCTCAGTCTTAAATTAGCACTTCTTTACTCTAAGTCAATGCTCTGTGGTCCTCTCCCATGAGGAGAAACGTCCTCTCAGCATTTACCCTGTCAAACCCCTTAAGAATCCTAAATGTTTCAATGCGATTACCCCTCATTCTTCTAAACTCCACCAAGTAGAGTCCCAACCTGTTTAGCCTTTGCTCATAAGGCAGTTCCTGCACACCAGGGACCATCCTAGTGAACCTCTTGAGTACCTCGATCAAGTGGTCACTCAACCTCCTTTACCCCAAGTTTAATTTATATCACAACATGGTCTTTTTTTTCTAAAAACTGAAAGAACTGCGGATGCTGTAAATCAGGAGCAAGAACAGAAGCTGCTGGAAAAGCTCAGCAGGTCTGGCAGCATCTGTGAAGTAAAGAAAACAGAGTTAACGTTTCAGGTCCGGTGACCCTTTTTTTTTCTGTTTCTTCTTTCCAGTGAATTGTACGATGTTTTGATAATTCATTTTCTTTTCCTTAGGCATGTTCAGGTGTGGACCAGCTTCTGTTAATGCCATAAAGCATGGACAGGTTTACTTTCCATATGATGCTCCTTTCATTTACGCTGAGGTATGTGAAACCCTGAGGGTATGCAGCAGTCCTCAAGATTTATATAGCAATAAACAAAGCCCCAGCAGAACAGTTTTGTTACTGAAGATTTAGTTCATGACATGCTGCAGAGACGTGAATTCTGTTTTTCATTCAAGATAACTTTTTTTTTTAGAAAGGTTTATTTATGGAGTGTAAGCTGCGCTTGCTAGGGCAGCATTTATTGCCCAAAGGGCAGTTATGAGCCAGCCAGATTTCTGTGTGCCTGGAGGCATATGTAGGCCAGCCTGGGTAAAGATGGCAGATTTCCTTCCCAGATAACAAGGTGTAGAGCTGGATGAACACAGCAGGCCAAGCAGCATCAGAGGAGCAGGAAAGCTGACGTTTCGGGCCTAGACCCTTCTTCA